AAACCCACCATCTTGTCCTACCTTTAGCCATACAAACCAACCATCATGTCCTACTATTAGCCACACAAACACACCATCATGTCCTACTACCACACAAACCCACTATCTTGTCCTACTACCACACAAACCCACTATCTTGTCCTACTATTAGCCACACAAACCCACCATCATGTCCTACTATTAGCCACACAAACACACCATCATGTCCTACTGTTATCCATACAAACCAACCATCATGTCCTACTATTAGCCACAAAAACACACCACCATGTCCCACTATTAACCACACAAACCCACCATCTTGTCCTACTACCACACAAACCCACCATCTTGTCCTACTACCACACAAACCCACCATCTTGTCCTACTATTAGCCACACAAACACACCATCATGTCCTACTACCACACAAACCCACTATCTTGTCCTACTACCACACAAACCCACCATCTTGTCCTACTTTTAGCCATACAAACCAACCATCATGTCCTACTATTAGCCACACAAACACACCATCATGTCCTACTACCACACAAACCCACCATCTTGTCCTACTACCACACAAACCCACCATCTTGTCCTACTTTTAGCCACACAAACCCACCATCTTGTCCTACCTTTAGCCATACAAACCAACCATCATGTCCTACTATTAGCCACACAAACACACCATCATGTCCTACTACCACACAAACCCACTATCTTGTCCTACTACCACACAAACCCACTATCTTGTCCTACTATTAGCCACACAAACCCACCATCATGTCCTACTATTAGCCACACAAACACACCACCATGTCCCACTATTAACCACACAAACCCACCATCTTGTCCTACTACCACACAAACCCACCATCTTGTCCTACTATTAGCCACACAAACCCACCATCTTGTCCTACTATTAGCCACACAAACCCACCATCTTGTCCTAGTATTAGCCACACAAACCCACCATCTTGTCCTACTACCACACAAACCCACTATCTTGTCCTACTACCACACAAACCCACCATCTTGTCCTACTATTAGCCACACAAACCCACCATCTTGCCCTACTATTAGCCACAGAAAACCACGAAACACGCTAATCCTACTCGTGGTTTAAGTCGACCCAATCGTTTAAGGGACTTGTGGTTATTTCACCCCAAGATCTCGACCTAAACAAATCTTGTTTGCGCAGTTCCATATCAACTGCATTTAATTAGCTAATTGAAACAAGATTCGGGTCAAGCGGCCAGCTTGCGCCTAATCACATCAAAACAATTGGCGCAGGGTGACACCACGGTTAAACACCACGGTTAAACACCACGGTTAAACACCACGGTTAAACATCACGGTTAAACAACACGGTTAAACAACACGGTTAAACAACACGGTTTAACAACACGGTTAAACACAACAGTTTAACATCACGGTTAAACACAACGGTTAAACATCACGGTTAAACAACACGGTTTAACACTACGGTTAAACACTACTGCAAATCAATTGGTTGAGGATTTTATATGTGATAATTATAGTAGCATGGTAAAATTATTAGTGCTGCCTTCAACATCTGGTCTATAGTAGTAAGATAACATTAATAGTGATGGCTCTGCATTTCCTAATTACTAATGTAACGAAAAGTATTTGTAAATCTACTAAACGGCACGTAATTGAGTATGATGGTGATATATGGAGGGCTGGGTAAAAAAAACATAAAATAAGTCATGGGTGATCTAAATTTTTGGAAAAAAAAAAGTTGCAGAAAAATCTCAATAGAACAACAAATATCGATTTACTTTGTAGGGATGGTCTAACTTGCCGCGTCTGTAAAACGGGTGGCATTTTTTTAAACAATTTATTTATAAACTTTAGTCTTAGAAATGGCGGGTTGGTGACGAAATCACATACGGGCGAAACTTTTTAAAAATATTCTTTTTTATAAAATGAAATTATCAAATTATTATGTTTTTTAAGAAATCGGAAGAAAATCACAATTTACATTTACCGGAAATCGTTCCAAAATGTATCTAAACATACGAATGCGATCTAATACTTAAATATGATATTTCGTCCACCTAAGTGAAACAGTAGGCCTACTCAAAAAATCGTGTTTACACACTCACACAGACAAATCACACACACACACACAATGACAACATCAAGATAGTCCAATACCAACTTCAATGATTTTGTTTACAGTAACTTCATCAATGGGAACTTGAGAGTACGGCATACACAGCATCAGTGTAATCGTTTCAAATCTAACACCAGTAAATCCATGGAAACGTAAAATAACTGACCACACGTTCACGGCACTTGCTCTCGGTGTAATCACGTAAGTTGTTAGAGATATCAAAAGTTTTAAACCGCGCCAGTTTTGACAGTTTTTATAAACTCTTGAACCGCATGCTCGACGTCAAGAAAACCAACACAGTTTTACCGGCCAGATTTGGTATACAATCAGTAAATATCGCTCTGAAAGATTGCTTACAAACGTAATTAAATAATTGTAAATTACATAAAAGACAATGCAATATGACATTAAATTTGATTTAATTGGTTGCCTGATTAATTTTTTTATGAATAAATTAAAATTTTGTCCAAATTAGTAGGCTGTCTCATCAAACTATTCCGCGCTATTACACACGCGTCATCAAGTTCAATAGGTGCGCAATGGTTTTTAGTCATGTAACTCTATTGTAAATAAAACATGTAAAGTACCTAAAAAAAATTCATAAAAAACGTTTTAATAACAAGCTTTTATTACAAGCTTTTATTTAACTCACTTCCTCGTCAGTCGTCAGTCTGTCTAGACGGAAACGCAGGAGTGAAAATTCGGACAGTTCTACTTGACCGATACGATTCACATTCGGTACGTGGGTCAAGACATGAAGACAATGCAATCTGAAACTAAATTTGACTTAATTGGATGCCTAATTAATTTTTTATGAATTAATTAAAATTTGGACCGAATTAGTAGGCATGTCTAGCCAACCACACCACACGCGTCATCACCTTCAATAGCTTCAATGGCTGCGTTCAAAAACCATTGCGCGCCTACTGAACGTGATGTTCAGTAGGCGCGCAATGGTTTTTAGTCATGTAACTCTATTGTAAATAAAACATGTAAAGTACTGAAAAAAAATTCATAAAAAACGTTTTAATAACAAGCTTTTATGTAATGATGCACTAAAAAGTAGAAAATAAATTATAGACTACTATTTAAATAACTATAAAGAAAAGCGTGGGTGTCTTCCTTAACATTAGTAAAGGTATCCAATAGATACTAAAGTGACCCACGCTTTTCTTTATAGTTATTTAAATAGTAGTCTATAATTTATTTTCTACTTTTTAGTGCATCATTACATAAAAGCTCGTTATTAAAACGTTTTTTATGAATTTTTGTAATAATCCACTAAAATGTAGAAAAAAATTATACACTGCTATTTAAACTACTATAAAGAAAAGCGTGGGTGTCTTCCTAAAAATAGATACTTAAGGAACCCACGCTTTTCTTTATAGTAATTTAAATAGCAGTGTATAATTTTTTTCTACTTTTTAGTGCATTATTACATAAAAGCTTGTTATTAAAAAGTTTTTATGAATTTAAAAAAAAAATAGAACTATAGTTTATATTGTATATGCCATTCAGCATAGAAAAAAATTAATTGGAGTTAAAAATTAATTATTACTAATTTTAAGGAGATGCATGACTTCACTATACAAGTAACGCCAGTAAGATGTGAGGGGGGTGTGGGGTGGTTTTATGAGGGGGAGGGTGTGGGGCGGTTTTTATGAGGGGAGGGTGTGGGGTGGTTTTTATGAGGGGAGTGTCTAAAGTAGCTTTTATCAAGGAAAGGTGTGGGGTGGTTGAGAGGAGGGTATATGTGTTGGGCTTGGTTGTGTGTGTGTGTGTGTGTGAGTGTGTGTTGTTGGCGTTGCGCTAGGCGGCCAGGCAACAAGATATTACTCGAACCATTTCCAATCCACGCAAGTCTGAGTTCAAGTCTGAGTTCAAGTCTGAGTTCAAGTCTGAGTTCAAGTCTGAGTTCAAGTCTGAGTTCAAGTCTGAGTTCAAGTCTGAGTTCAAGTCTGAGTTCAAGTCTGAGTTCAAGTCTGAGTTCAGTGGGTGAATTGAACAGAAAACCAACGCGTCACAGGCGACGACAAAAATAAATTTTAAAAATGTTGCTGTATCAATATAATAATATGTTACACGGATAAATACTAACCCACGTGACTCGACAGGTGTGGATTAAGCAAGTTTCGCCCTACGTAATACGGGCATATACTAAATGTATTGACTGTACACGGGTGAACAATGTCCGTTTTGTCTTACTTTAGCAGATCCCACATACCGTGAATCGGTCTTATTTTAAACCCAGCTGACGTTTATAAACAAGATATCACATGCAGAACAATATTTTCACAGCGTTAACTCCTAGGCCAGACTCTATAAAAACCACTCCTCTTACAGTCGCAAGCCCATGTCTCTCTATAAAAAACCACTTTGCTTACAGTCGCAAGTCCATGTCTCTCTATAAAAAACCACTCCTCTTACAGTCGCAAGCCCATGTCTCTCTATAAAAAAACCACTTTGCTTACAGTCGCAAGTCCATGTCTCTCTATAAAAAACCACTTTGCTTACAGTCGCAAACCCATGTCTCTCTATTAAAACCACCTTGCTTACAGTCGCAAGCCCATGTTTCTCTATAAAAACCACCTTGCTTACAGTCGCAAGCCCATGTTTCTATATTAAAACCACTTTGCTTACACTCGCAAGCCCATGTATCTGTATAAAAACCACCTCCAAGATTTGCTTGCTCAGGATTCTATGTAAAAACCACTTCTTCGATAACTCTATATTCATTGAATCAATAAAAAAAACAATGCATGCTGAGAATTTGAAATGAGTATTTTAATCGCCGTAAAAATCAACGTGTCACAAGAAAAACAATGCATCCTTCATGCCGTGAATTGTAATAGAAGCAAGCAAGGAGATGGATGGCCTACCTTAGCAGACGTCTGCCTGTGTTGACAACAAATGGTGAGTGCCAAATTCCGCCGCTGCCATATGAGGGAACCACACCAGTCACCTGCTTCTCTCCCCTGCCGGCCCGCCCACAACTTCACACGTCAGTGGCGGGCTGGGAGCGCGCGCAAACTGACGTCACTCACGTCTGCCCACAAACCCGGGGTACCCGTGGGTGACTAAATGCTCGCCGTGGGTCATCCCAAGTGTTGTTTGACTGTAAGATTTGTGACTGTAAGATTTGTGACTGTAAGATTTGTGACTGTAAGATTTGTAACTGTACGATTTGTGACTGTAAGATTGGTGACTCTAAGATTTGTGACTGTAGATTTGTGACTGTAGATTTGTGACTGTATATTTGTGACTGTAGATTTGTGAGTGTAAGATTTGTGACTGTAAGATTTGTGACTGTAGATTTGTGACTGTAGATTTGTGACTGTAAGATTGGTGACTGTAAGATTTGTGACTCTAAGATTTGTGACTGTAAGATTGGTGACTCTAAGATTTGTGACTGTAAGATTTGTGACTGTAAGATTTGTAACTGTACGATTTGTGACTGTAAGATTGGTGACTCTAAGATTTGTGACTGTAAGATTTGTGACTGTAAGATTTGTAACTGTACGATTTTTCACTGTAAGATTTGTGACTGTAAGATTTGTGACTGTAAGATTTGTGACTGTAAGATTTGTGACTGTTATATTTGTGACTAAGACTTGGGATTGCCATATAATATAAGTGATGCGCCGGCTTCCCATGAATTAGGACGAGCCGGCTGTCCATGAACGAGAAAGAGCCGGCTGTCCGTGAATGTGGGAGAGCCGGCTGTCCGTGAATGAGGTAGAGCCGGCTGTCCGTAAATAAAACAACGTGGGCTAACCTCATTAGCTCACCACCACATCTTCCGTGATCTTGATGACGTCACAACGTCACTGCTAAAATCACGCGATGGCCATCCAATACAAAGAAATGAAACATGTTTTTTTGTGAGCGAGACACGCGTGATGAGGGTTTGGGGGGGGGGGGGGGGGGGGGAGTTAAGCTGTAGCTTTGTGTTTCAGTTATTTGTATCATCAAGTGCGAACCTTTGATTTGAATGGGAAACTCAAACAATTATAGCGTCGTTTGGAATCAACTAAGAAAAAACTATATTAACGTTACACACACACGTTGAATTCAAAATGTAAATAAACCGGGAGCCATCTCCCCTAAACTTTCTCGAATATTCTTATATAAAAAACAGGGGATTGGAACTCAGGATATAGACATGAATTTTAATCCATTTTAAATACTTAAACTTTTTAAAATAGAATAAAATCTCGTAGAAAAAGAATTGCACACAGTGAACGCCAAATAAAATGTGCATAATAGTGCGGAATATTATTAGTACTTTAGAAATTTACATTCGTTTTTTGAGAAATCGAAAATAGCGTAAATAAGTACTTCCGGTCAACGGAAATTACTCAAAAATTTGACAGAAGGTAGAGAATTAGATCTTTGACTTACATGTGAAATTTCATTTATCTATCTGAAGTAGTACTCAAGTTATAGGCTTTTGAAAAATTCAAAGTAAAAAAGTACCACTTCCGGTTATCGGAAATCGCTCAAAAGTAGATAAGGATCTACGATTTTGATAAAATACTTATATATGAAATTTCATCAACCTAGCTGTAACGGTACTCAAGTTATCGTGTTACAGACACACATACACACGGACATACGGACAGAATTGCAAAGTCTAGTTTTTCCGACTCGATAACGCATAAAACGCCAAAATGTTTATATATTTGTATTAATAATTTTTGCTTGATTAAAATAAGTCCTCTATACTTCGGATGTGATGAAGGACTGAGGTGTAAAACGATGAAAACTGTCAAAATTTCATGTTATTTTTGTGCACGATTACAAGACTTTCTCTATACTTCGTATACACGAGAAAGTAAAAAACGATGAAAAGAGGGACGCATAATTCAAAAGATATTTGAGCTTTGAGGCAAATTTGAAATTCTAGCACGATTCTAAAACCCAACTTTAATTGTATAAATGGAAAAAAAACACAACTTGAAGCGTATGTTAACTGTACAAAATGTACACAAATCTAAGTCTAATGTGCATGTACACAAATCTAAGTCTAATGTGCCTGTACACAAATCTAAATCTAAGGTGTCTGTACACAAATCTAAATCTAATGTGTACGCAAATCTAAGTCTAATGTGTACATACATCCAAGTCTAATGTGTACACAAATCTAAGTCTAATGTGCCTGTACACAAATCTAAGTCTAGCGAACCTGTACACAAACGTAACGCTGTAGGAACTATGATGTTATTAGTTTGTTTTTCTTTCTCGCGGCATTGTATGACAAGATTTACAAGCAACTGTGATCCCAATATTCCATAGGGTTCCCAGAGGTCATATAAACTATGGGATGTTTCAAAACCAGATATCTTGTATAATAGAGGTGGACCTTGTGAGGGGTGGACCTTGTGAGGGGTGGACCTTGTGAGGGGTGGACCTTGTGAGGGGTGGACCTTGTGAGGGGTGGACCTTGTGAGGGGTGGACCTTGTGAGGGGTAGACCTTGTGAGGGGTGGACCTTGTGAGGGGTGGACCTTGTGAGGGGTGGACCTTGTGAGGGGTGGACCTTGTGAGAGGTGGACCTTGTGAGGGGTGGACCTTGTGATGTGTGGACCTTGTGAGGGGTGGACCTTGTGAGGGGTGGACCTTGTGAGGGGTGGACCTTGTGAGGAGTGGACCTTGTGAGGGGTGGACCTTGTGGACCTTGTGAGGGGTGGACCTTGTGAGAGGTGGACCTTGTGAGGGGTGGACCTTGTGAGGGGTGGACCTTGTGAGAGGTGGACCTTGTGAGGGGTGGACCTTGTGATGTGTGGACCTTGTGAGGGGTGGACCTTGTGAGGGGTGGACCTTGTGAGAGGTGGACCTTGTGAGGGGTGGACCTTGTGCGGGGTGGACCTTGTGAGAGGTGGACCTTGTGAGGGGTGGACCTTGTGGACCTTGTGAGGGGTGGACCTTGTGAGGGGTGGACCTTGTGAGGGGTGGACCTTGTGAGGGGTGGACCTTGTGATGTGTGGACCTTGTGAGGGGTGGACCTTGTGAGGGGTGGACCTTGTGAGGGGTGGACCTTGTGAGGGGTGGACCTTGTGAGGGGTGGACCTTGTGAGGGGTGGACCTTGTGAGGGGTGGACCTTGTGAGGGGTGGACCTTGTGAGGGGTGGACCTTGTGATGTGTGGACCTTGTGAGGGGTGGACCTTGTGAGGGGTGGACCTTGTGATGTGTGGACCTTGTGAGGGGTGGACCTTGTGGACCTTGTGAGGGGTGGACCTTGTGGACCTTGTGAGGGGTGGACCTTGTGAGGGGTGGACCTTGTGAGGGGTGGACCTTGTGGACCTTGTGAGGGGTGGACCTTGTGAGGGGTGGACCTTGTGAGGGGTGGACCTTGTGAGGGGTGGACCTTGTGAGGGGTGGACCTTGTGAGGGGTGGACCTTGTGGACCTTGTGAGGGGTGGACCTTGTGAGGGGTGGACCTTGTGAGGTGTGGACCTTGTGAGCCGTGAACCTTGTGAGGGGTGGACCTTGTGAGGGGTGGACCTTGTGAGGGGTGGACCTTGTGAGGGGTGGACCTTGTGAGGGGTGGACCTTGTGGACCTTGTGAGGGGTGGACCTTGTGAGGGGTTGACCTTGTGAGGAGTGGACCTTGTGAGGGGTGGACCTTGTGAGGGGTGGACCTTGTGAGGGGTGGACCTTGTGAGGGGTGGACCTTGTGAGGGGTGGACCTTGTGAGGGGTGGACCTTGTGAGGGGTGGACCTTGTGGACCTTGTGAGGGGTGGACCTTGTGAGGGTTGGACCTTGTGAGGGGTGGACCTTGTGAGGGGTGGACCTTGTGAGGGGTGGACTTTGTGAGGGGTGGACCTTGTGAGGGGTGGACCTTGTGAGGGGTGGACCTTGTGGACCTTGTGAGGGGTGGACCTTGTGAGGGGTGGACCTTGTGAGGGGTGGACCTTGTGAGGGGTGGACCTTGTGAGGGGTGGACCTTGTGAGGGGTGGACCTTGTGAGGGGTGGACCTTGTGAGGGGTGGACCTTGTGAGGGGTGGACCTTGTGAGGGGTGGACCTTGTGAGGGGTGGACCTTGTGAGGGGTGGACCTTGTGAGGGGTGGACCTTGTGGACCTTGTGAGGGGTGGACCTTGTGAGGGGTGGACCTTGTGAGGGGTGGACCTTGTGAGCCGTGAACCTTGTGAGGGGTGGACCTTGTGAGGGGTGGACCTTGTGAGGGGTGGACCTTGTGAGGGGTGGACCTTGTGGACCTTGTGAGGGGTGGACCTTGTGAGGGTTGGACCTTGTGAGGGGTGGACCTTGTGAGGGGTGGACCTTGTGAGGGGTGGACTTTGTGAGGGGTGGACCTTGTGAGGGGTGGACCTTGTGAGGGGTGGACCTTGTGGACCTTGTGAGGGGTGGACCTTGTGAGGGGTGGACCTTGTGAGGGGTGGACCTTGTGAGGGGTGGACCTTGTGAGGGGTGGACCTTGTGAGGGGTGGACCTTGTGAGGGGTGGACCTTGTGAGGGGTGGACCTTGTGGACCTTGTGAGGGGTGGACCTTGTGAGGGGTGGACCTTGTGAGGGGTGGACCTTGTGAGGGGTGGACCTTGTGGACCTTGTGAGGGGTGGACCTTGTGAGAGGTGGACCTTGTGAGGGTTGGACCTTGTGAGGGGTGGACCTTGTGAGGGGTGGACCTTGTGAGGGGTAGACCTTGTGAGGGGTGGACCTTGTGAGGGGTGGACCTTGTGAGGGGTGGACCTTGTGAGGGGTGGACCTTGTGAGGGGTGGACCTTGTGAGGGGTGGACTTTGTGAGGGGTGGACCTTGTGAGGGGTGGACCTTGTGAGGGTTGGACCTTGTGAGGGGTGGACCTTGTGAGGGGTGGACCTTGTGAGGGGTGGACCTTGTGGACCTTGTTAGGGGTGGACCTTGTGAGGGGTGGACCTTGTGAGGGGTGGACCTTGT